GCTAGGTATTTTTAGAAAGTCAGATAGAAACAGAGAAGAATAAAGTAGAATCAGAGAAGAGAAGATGTGCCATGTTAGATGAACAGATTAAAATACTGGTAAAACATCACTTTTAGATTGCCAAATTATTTTAGGCAGTGTTTATCCCTATTTGTCATTAGGGAGTTTTTCATTGACAACTACTGATTTTTACTTCTTCTGCATAATGTAGCATTTGTTAGAATCAAAATGGAAATAGCATGTCAATTACTATGGTTTTGGTAATGGCATTCCAATCTCAAAAGATTAAGATTTCAATCATCACTATGGAATATGGATCAATATTTTTTTCATTCTTACTTGTTGCAAACACACCCTGTTTTTATTGCAGGAAAGAGAAAGACCTAAATCTCGAGGTACACCATCACCAATATCTGTTTCTAGACAAGATAGTGTGGCTAGTTTTACTGACCAGCCTCAATTCTTTACTTCATTACATCAAAATCAGGTGGGTAACTCCATATTAATATACAATCTATATATCGTACTCACAATTGCTAAATGCCATTCAAAGACTTTATTAACATACAGTAGAACCCTGAACAATCTGGACAACCCTCATTTATTTCTAGTCACTGTTAGAGAGCTGAGTATTTTCTGTGTTCTATTCAAAATGCTTTGCTTACTGAAATCAAGGCCAAATTTTCCTTTATCAGTAGTGAAAATCATAAGACACTGAGGTGAAGGGAACAAATTGAACAAGAACTTATCCTATATTGCACAAAAACATGTCTTCATTAAGTTGGAAATCAGCAATTGAGTTATAGCACATGTCTGCAATCTAAACAAGACCTAAGGTGTTAAAAATCTATTTATTTCAAACTACCAATGCTTACCAAAAGGATATGAAAATAGGGTTTCAAATTTCTGTAAAATGAACAACCATGATATTGTAGGATGAGATATTAGAAAGAAGTTTATATATGACATCACCTAATAATACTAGATCAGTATACGAACAGTTACGCCATACAGGAGCTTCAACTTTAATAGAGGGCCTTGAATCACAGTTAAAACTGAAAGAAGGGGAAATAACTCAGTTACAGGTAGACCCCATTATCTTTATTTGGGAAATTTTAGGTTTTCAGTTGTTCAAATATAGAATTCCCTTTAATTTCAGTTTTTTGAATATTGAAAATGATTTATGTATACCCCAGGCTAAACCATATTTGTAACAAACTATTTTTTTACTTTTTTAAAATGTTTTTTCTAATTACCAAAATTATTTTCCAGTGTTATTTCTAATAGTAATCATTGTTTGAATATTGTAGAGTGAAATAAGTCAGTTAGAAAGAACTCGAGAATCAATGGCTAAAGAATTAGTTAATTTAACAAACCAAGTTGAAGAGTTGGAAGATAAATTAAAAGAATATCCTGAATTACTTAACAATTACAAGGTAATATTTTAAACTCAACTCTCATATTGTAAATTGAAAATCAATTAGACTAGTTCTGAAGTAGAAAAACAAAAAGTAATGCACCAATTGGTTAATTTCACTGATAAAATTATTTATTCTCATTGAAAATTTAAGTCTTAAAGATTTAAGTCTTTTATGATGGGACAACAAACAGAGGCCTGTTTGCTACAGATGCATGCTCCCCAGTGGGGCCGCCAGGTTTACGTCCGATATGGGGCGATATATCTGAGATTTTCTATTCTTAGAATTTCTAATATAGTTGCCCAAAAAACTTGCTTTCTGCTCTGTTGACAGTTGACATGTGAAAAATTATTAAATTATATCACAAATTCCCAAAAAGGGAATGTTATTTGACGTTTTGGCTTACTGCCTTCTTCAGAAACACCCAAAATAGATCTCGATCACATCTTATTGAGTTTGAGTATTCTAAACTTTAAATAGTAAGTAAAATAACGGAATAAGATGTGATCGAGATCTATTTTGGGTGTTTCTGAAGAAGGTAGTAAGCCTAACAGGACAATAATATAGTGAAAAATTATCATTTAGGAATTAGATAGTAGATATAATGCTATTCTACAAATGTATGGTGAAAAGGTAGAAGAGACAGAAGAATTGAAATTAGATTTAGCAGATGTTAAAGAAATGTATAAACAACAGGTAAACATCTTAACATTTCAAATTCTTTGTCTCTTTGATTTCATTGTCATATTTGACAAATGGCAATGATTGTTAGTGCTTTAGTTTTGCCTCTTGTATGTTATGGAATGGCTTTTTATTCAATGTTCTTCATTGCTATTTCCATTCTTCCTTCCATAGTTATGTATCGAAAAACATGTGTTTGCAGCATGAGATGACCTCTAATCATGACTTGAGATCATAAATGCTATGAAATTTATTCAAGAATTCATATATCTCTATTTGTCAGACCACATTACTCCAAAACAGTCAAATTGTATTATCTCTTTTTCAGATAAATCATTTATTAACTAGCTAATGGTATTAAGTTTATATTATATTGGTGCAATATGTGAAAATCAAGACTTTTTGATCTGTGACTATAATTATGTGGGAATATATATTATATATTGGTTTTAATGATTATTTGTAGTTATGACATAAGATAAGATATCAATGTTTTTCTGGGTTTTATTCCATAGGGTTGCCTAATGTTGTGCTATGGTTAGCTTTGCAGTTTTGATGGGATTATGTTGTTATTTTCTATGTTCTAAAATACAACACCAATGAATAATGTCTTCAGCTCTAAATATTGCACTGTGGCTTGCGTTACTTAAAGTTTGAGCTGGCAAACTTATTAAATTAGAGCAAACTGGAGCGAGATTAACTGATGTAATAATCTAGAAATTAAGTGACAATCAACATATTTAACAAAGTATAAAATGGTATATAAAAAAGGGTAGGGATGCTTCGAAAAATATAAAAATCATGTAAAAATTCATATTGCCTAAGTACAAATAATCTGGCACAACCATTTAATCAGTTGTTGTATTTCATCAAGCCTAAATAAATTATGTTAACGTTGCCCCTGTTATTTTTGTGTCTATGATTGTTACTGTGTATATTTTGTTATTGTATATAAGAATATTATTTAATAATGACAAGTGAAATGACTGTGATGTTTGAAATGAGGATTTATTCTTTAATAAATTTGGATAAATAAATGTTGTCTTCTCAATCCAACTGATAACCTATAAAATGGATATTGAAATTATTCCCGAATGAAATAAAAAAGAGGACTTTGCTTTGTATGCACCCTCAATATTGATTCACCAATTTTAATACACCCACAAATTAATGTGGGCATATATAGTCGTTACCCTAGTCCGACAGCTGGAGTATAGTCAGAAGAAAAAAAAACCTTATTAAATGGGAATTTTCCACAACCCCAAAGATGCGTTTTCTCAAAAATGATATTGAATTACCTTTAAGATGATTGTAAATTAGTGTTAGGCATCACCGTGACTTTCGTTTTGTTAGTATCACATGACTTTGAACTTTTGGTTTTAAATGGCTGATGCTTGATCAGTTTCGCCCCAAAAACAACTTTAATGGAACCAGAGACATGTCATAATTGGTGTAGAGAGAAAATGACGGTATGACTGAACTAGAAAAAAAATTCATCTTTCCAAATATAGGCCAACCTGGGTTTTGCAGATCCGAGGTATCTAAATAAGTTTAAAACCCCCTGGACCTGCAGAGATGCAGAATGTCCCCAATTAACAGGGCTTATTATTTCTGTTTCTACACCAGCTGACATCTGTCCAGATAGCTATCAGAGGCTGGAATAGAGGCAGATGTTTCGGTCTATCATTGTCCCTTCACTCGTCTATTCACAATTGTTTTAGACACGAGAGAGAGGGTTTCTTGAAGGATTTTGACAAAATTTGCTGTGAGTGTTTGTCAACACCCAAGGATGAGCCCTATTGAAAATCAGACAAATCGAAATAATATGAGTTATTGCCCTTGTCTTTGAAAATTTGTAGTGGACACAATAGAGAGCTGTTTTATTTCATGGATTTTGATAAAATTTGGTATGAATGTTTGTTATTAATTAAGGATGAACCCTAATTAAAATCAGACAAATTGAAAAACATTTGCGTTGTTCTTGAAACGCATTCAATTTTTTTTGAAAATGTGTTTTGGACACAATAGAGAGTTGATTTCTTGCTGGATTTGGATAATATTCGGTGTCAATGTTTGTTATCACCTAAAAATGAACCTTATTGAAAAACAGGATACTTATACTTGGGTGATAACAAACACTCACACCAAGTTTTGTAAAAATCTGTCAATAATTTAACCTTCTAGAGCAGGGTAAAATGTAACACGTTTTCAAGAACAAGGGCAATAACTCAAACTAAATATTTTTTGATATTTCTGATTTTAGCTAGGGTTCATCCTTGGGTGATTACAAACACTCAAGCCACCTTTATACGTATATTAGACAAAGCGCTGATTTTTGCCCTCAGTTTTGACATATTATAAGACCTCATCTGAAATGAATTCAAACTTATTACTATATCAGGAGTGTCAGAACAATTTAAATAAAAATGATTGATTTTTTTCTAATAATTGTCTGTTTTCACACTATCATAAAAAATAACTATTTCATATTTGCACTATAAATCCATATATATCTGATGAAGATATAATCAAAAAAGTGTGTTGCGACTGGCTGCGTTTTAGGACATTTTTTCATAAATGATTTCAGTTGTGTTAGACAGTATTTAAAAACATTCTTCAAATGCTGCAATGGTTGTTAAATTTACAATTTGAAAGGATGTTTTTTTAGAAGAATCTGAGAGTCGACCTGGGAAGTTTCTCCAAAATTATGATTTCAGATTGAATGACCCCATTCCATATTCAATTATCTTATTTATTTGTAGGATTCTAGAATATTTTTCTGTCAGCATTAAGTCTACAAATCCTTTGATAAAACACTTTTGCGAACACAGAATTTTTATGGTATTTTCATATGTATTTTGCTTTTTTGAGATTGAGAAACTATTTTCACAAATATCACATTTATAAAGTTTTTTCTCCAGTATGTATTCTCATGTGATCTTTTTGTTGTGAAGCAGTAATAAAAGATGCACCACAAATGTCACATTTGTATGGTTTCGCTCCAGTATGGATTTTCAAATGAACTTTATGATGTGATGCAGTTATAAAGGATCTTTCACAAACATCACATTTGTATGGTCTCTCTCCAGTATGGGTTCTCATGTGAACCTTTAGCTTATTTGACACTGTAAAACACTTTTTACACACATCACATTTGTAAGGTTTTTCTCCAGTATGTGCTCTCTTATGAATATTAAGATAGCTTGCTTTTATAAAACATTTTTCACAATCATCACATTTGTATGGTTTCTCTCCAGTATGATTTCTCAAGTGAACTTTATAATGTGATGCAGTTATAAAAGATCTATCACAAACATCACATTTGTATGGCTTTTCTCCAGTGTGTGTTCTCATGTGAACTTCACGACGTGACGCAGTTATAAAACATTTACCACAAACATCACATTGGTATGGTTTCTCACCAGTATGTGTTCTCATGTGAACCTTTAGCTTATTTGACATTGTAAAACACTTTTCACACACACCACATTTGTAAGGTTTTTCTCCAGTATGTGTTCTCATGTGAGCATTAAGATTGCTTACTCTTAAAAAACGCTTTCCACAAATGTTGCATTGGTGAGGTTTCTCTCCAGTATGGGTTCTCATGTGTAACTGAAGGGAACTTGGATGATGAAAACGCCATTCACAAACATCACATTTGTATGGTTTTTCTCCAGTATGTGTTCTCATGTGCAACTTGAGAGTATTTGGATGACAGCAACACCATTCACATATGTCACATTTGAAAGGCTTTTTTCCAGTAGCGGTATGGGTTTTTAAGTGAATTTTATGGTAAGGTAAAGTCGTAAAACATTTTCCACAAATTTCACATTTGTAAGGTTTCTCTCCAGTATGTGTTCTTTTGTGAACTTTTAAATGACTTGCTCTTATAAAACTCTTCTCACAAACATCACATTTGTGTGGTTTCTCTCCAGTATGTGTTCTCATGTGTAACTGGAGGGAATTTGGACGAGAAGAACACCAATCACATACATCACATTTGTAAGGTTTTTCTGCAGTATGTGTTCTCATGTGGACTTTAAGATGGCATGATTTACTAAAACTCTTTTCACAAACATCACATTGGTATGGTTTCTCACCAGTATGGGTTCTCATGTGAATTTTAAAATGACCAGTTCTCAAAAAACTCTTTTCACAAACATAACATTTGTGTGGTTTTTCTCCAGTATGTACTCTCATGTGATCTTTAAAATTACTTACTGTAATAAAACTCTTTTCACAAACATTACATTTGTATGGTTTTTCTCCAGTATGTGCTCTTCTGTGAACTTTAAAATAACTTGCTGTTGTAAAACTCTTTTCACAAATATCACATTTGTAAAGATTTTCTCCAGTATGTCTTCTCAGGTGAACTTTAAATTCACGTGCTCTTATGAAACTCTTTTCACAAACATCACATTTGTAGGGTTTTTCTCCTGTATGTATTTTCATGTGTTCAGTCTGATGAAACAATTTGGAAAAACACTTTCCACAAACATCACATTTGTAAGGATTTTCAATCTTATGAAATATTATGTGATGATTAAGTTTACTTCGCATATCAAAGCCAAGTCCACATATACCACAATGGAAAGATTTCCCTCCAGTTTGTATATGTATTTTCATGTGACTCAACAGTTTTCTTGTTAACTCAAAGCCTAGTCCACAAATACCACAATGGATAGGTTTTTTTCCTGTAGATTGTTTCTTGTGAATCTTATAATTCAAGGCTAATGCTTGGTCTGTATCACAACCATTCATCACAAATCCAGATAAATGATGTGGTAGGTGTTTTTGTCTTCTTTGTCTCAGCATTGTATTTATGATTAAAAGTAGGTTCACCTATTATTTAATTCAAAATAAGTTTTTGTTTTAAGAGTCTTGAACTGAAGAGGTAAATTTAGTTGAAGTTCAAAGAATACAGTAGTGCTGAGTAGTGGGTTGATTTTAACTGATCTAAGAGTGTAGTTTTTTAGTTTCTGTCCCCACACACATTTGAAAGGTGTTTTTTTGGTAGACATTTTTACGGAGTCTAAAACTATAAAGTTTACTTGCAGTTGTAAAGTCGAAGTGCAAACTGTGTGGGATTTCACCTTATGTCTGTACAACTATATATCCTTTCTGATGCATTTCACAAGAATTAGGTGATCAAAGGATCACCAAGACTATTTTGTTTGTAAACTCTATTGTTTACACTGTGGATGGATTTTTGATTTTTAAAAATAAAACAGGAAGTGAAAATTTTACGGATTGATTCATGGCTTACAGAGCAATAGGAGGCATTTGGCTCTTGGCCATCATTAGGCTACCACATTGAACTCATTTAATTTAAGTCTAGTTGTGGCAGGGATTGCCTCATGCTGAAGGGTAGCCTGAATACCCCATTTAATTAACGTCTTTTTTTATTAGTGGTTGCTGGTTTTAACAAAATATGAAGATTTGGAAAATTCATGGTCAAAAGACTTTTTTGGGTGGCAAAATTTGGTGATACAAACTCCCTATCAAGGTTATAAAACCAGGTTTCCCCTATCAAGGTTTAAAACATTGTTTCCTCTATCAAGGTTTAAAACATTGTTTCCCTCTATAAAATCTTCGAATTGTCTAACAGCAGGGCTTTTAATCGGTTTTGCACCATGGAGGATCGTTTTCGAGTTTTGACTCGTTTACAAGCAGAAAAGGTCTGATATGCATAGACTTTGCTTTGCATCCAACAAATGGTATTGCAGTGACAAAGCGGGCATCTTTAAGACTTTCTGCATCCTGGTAACTAGTTGAAATTTCTGTGACAAACTTTGGAAATGCTCCTGCAAAACTCAAAAGCTCAGCTGCACAGCGTCATAATTCTGACAAAAAACTTTCACTTTCAGCTACATGTTCTGTTGTATTTCTGAACTTTCATTTACAACATTTTCAATGTGTGCCAAATGGAAATTTTCGCTGACCCCTTATTAAATGGATTTCTGCACCCACATGCTCCTCCCCCTCCCCCTGCTCTACTGGCCACTGCCACTGAAAGCCTTGTCAAGATAAGTTTTCTAAAAGAACATTCGACAATTATAACAATTTATTGGCATCCTTACATTTCTTATATATTCTATTTAAATATTATTTCTAGAATTCAAGCATTTTAACTAGAGGTCTTTTCAAAAGAAGATAAAGCATGTAATTCTGAATTATGAATAACATTTCCCTCATTTCCATCCGGTTGTGCAGATTTGGTGTGAGGGAAAACTGTTGGTCTATTTTCAGGGTCAATAGCCCTTTCAGGAAAGAAATAATAGTACATCTCAATATTCATTTCTTCTGGTGGTGGAACTAAATGAATATTGTCCAACTGAAATCAGAGAAAAGTCACACATAAAGTAACATTCTTGACCACAACCCCCTACAAACTTTCTATTAATTAGAAGTAGTACCCTTTTGGTTTGAAACAGTTTCATTTAAAAGATAGATTGTTTTCAGAATATTGGCCTACTTACAACATATTGAGAAATCTTTGTCTTCTCCACCATTTCCTTCTTAAATTGTTCTCTTTTTTCAGCCTAAAGTGAAGAAAAAGAACTTTAAACCATCATGATCTCAATATACATAACACAGAAATATTAATAAATAAATATAACATCAATTATGTTTCCTGGACTTTTTGACGTCCTTATCTTTTATCTATGAAGTTGGAAAGCATGGAAAATCTCTCTTTTTCAATTCTAAGCCTTGGTAAAAACAAATGGAACTGTGACTCTGCATCCCTGTAAAATATTTGGGCTATACTCAAAACGTTCACTTATATAAATATCCTTGTCCAATACAAATGTTAAATTAAATCCTTGGTTATTAGAAAAAGATTTAAGACTTACTGATAGTTTTTCCTGTTCTTCCAAGGCCTTGATTACATTATCTTTATCTTTAGGATAGGGTACCTCAATTGATGAATACTAAAATAGAAAGAAAAGCATTAAAAATATGCCAGACGATATATGAGACTGAGGTATGATTAGTCAATAAAATGGTGCAACTGTCCCTTTAATGTTTAGAATTCGATTACTTCAATTGCACTTCTTTGCAATCACAGAAGAAAATCTACTGACCAAATTCTTGGACCCTTTGGTTAAAAATATTCTTATAATAACCTTCTGAAATAATGATGTTATAAAGGTTAATTTTGTACCATTTAAACACAAGTACTCACAGATTTTTCAAACTGATCTATCATTGGTAATGCACCTAAGGCATTTCTGTAGAAAGTAAAGTCTATCTTGGGTAAACTCTCAGGATATTTATTCACTCTAGAGAGAAATAAAAAGAATTTATACAATATATTTGACCATCCTTTGATCTGCATATAGCATCTAATTTGAGTCTTATTCTGTGTTAGCTGATCCAAATCTTTTCAAGTTGGTGCAAAGAACTGTGAAGCCAATCCTGGATAAGTTTGGCTTCATTGCCAACAATAATATTCAGAAAAAATGGTAGTAATCATTAAATATATGCATTTGAAGTGTTAAGTTACAATTTTTAAAAATTAAACAAATGCATATAAATTTAATGATGACTTTAAAAGTATAACTATAAAAGTTCTGTATGTTTTCATTTATTGGCTGTCAGAGTATGATATTTTTTAGTTGAAGTCCCATAAAAAATTTATTATAAAGTACCACTATCTTTATTTTCATCCTTCCCATATAAATTTAAGCATAAGTATTGTATAGCCACATTTTATTGCAATTTCAGTCACAATTCCTTCAAAAATATATCAAAGTACTATTGTCAGACTACATTGAGCTTTGAATTGAATATTTCTCTAACTTCATAAATATTCCAAATAAAATTAAAACTTTATGCCATTTGTCTTAGAATGTCTTTGGGTCCATAGAAATATAAGGGTCAGTGACTTTACATTTGAAATAGACACAGATCCCAGATGATGTTGTTTGATGCAGTATCAATTAAATCTATCAAAACACATTTTGTTATTTTTGAAGTGATGAAATACTTGCACTTATCACATATAATTCATGTGAGTCTAAATTTTCAAGGTATGATTTCCAGTTGAGAGAAGTCGAGCAAACCGATAATTGTTTAAACTCAGGTTTTTTTTTTTTTGATATTTATTTTTTACAATTAGAAGTGTTGTATTTCGATGCATGAGATTTTTCAAGTGATATTCTACTCCACCTCCCCGAAATGTCTGCTATCCAGTATCCACCAATATATAACCTTATTCTTCATCTTCTTCCAATCCAGTACATGACCTTCTCTGAGGTATTGTCATACTCAGGTGAAAACTGTACAAGGTCTTGGTGAGTCTCAAACGTATATTACAAGTTAAAAGAGGATTACAAACTGTCTCTCTGATCCATGGTGAGGATGCCAGGCCACTTTTGAAGCCCTCCAGGGTGTTGGAAGTAGCTATGGATGATGGCAGTTGGTTCCACTGTCTGATACCCGAGGGGAAAAAATGAGTGACAGTAGACATCTGTTCTGCAAAATGGCACCATGAATATCAGTGTGTGGCCTTTAGTGTTTAGGTGGGCAGGATGGAAGAACAGCTTCCATGGTATGACAATGAGACCATTTATAATGTGGTACACCATCACCAGCTTAGAGTTGGTCCTGCGCTGTTGGAGGGTATTCCTGTCTAGGTCTGTTAGCATCTGGCTGGTGCTTCTTGTTGTTCGTTAGTCTCCCTTCACAAATCTTGTGGCGCGCCGCTGAACTGCTTCTAGCTGGGTGATGTTGGTCTGAGTTTATGGTTCCCACGCAGATGACAACGCATACTCAAGGATTGGCCTCACTAATGTCTTGTAGCTCTGTGGCTTGGTATCTTGCGGGCAGGCTGTCAGGTTCCGTCTTAGAAAAGCAAGACTGTTGATGGCCATCTTGGTTGTCTGGTCTATGTGGGCATTCCAGGAAAGGTTGTCTGTCAATGAAACACCAAGATATCTTCCCGTCTTGACTACTGCGAGATCTTTGTTGTGAATCTTGTAGCAGGTGGCAGTAGGTGCCTTCTTCCTTGTGATGTGTAAGACCTCAAACTTGCTTGGGTTAAACAACGTCCTCCAATTCTTCTCCCATTGTTGTAGGTTCTCCAGATCAGCCTGCAGGGCTTCAGAATCTTTGGGTGTCCAGATAATCCTATACAGGAGACTGTCTTCATCAAAAAGTCTTGCTGTGGAGGTAACCTTCTCTGGTAGGTCGTTTATGTAAAGGTGAAAGAGCAAGGGCCCCAGGACGGTACCTTGGGGAACACCTGATGTTACTGGAGCTGTAGCTGATGAAAGGAAGCCCTGTATCCACTTGAGTAGTTGATCCCATAATGGTGTAACTTCATGGCAATGTGCTCATGGGGGACTTTGTCAAAGGCCTTACTGAAATCTAGAAGAACAGCATCAATCTGTCCACCCTCTTCTAGTCCAGCTGTCATGTCCTGAAGTGTGAGGTTGAGTTGACTCTCAGTGGATCTTCTTTTTCTAAATCCATGTTGTTGGTCGGATAGTATGTTGTTTATGTCCAGATGGCCCATGACTTGACTGAGGAAAAGGTGTTCCATGACCTTGCTGCATACAGATGTAAGGGACACTGGTCTGTAATTGGCTGCTCTGCTGTGATCACCTTTCTTGAAGATTGGTGTGATGTTGGCATGCTTCCAATTATCAGGAACTTCTCCTTGGTGCAGCTTGGAATATGAGGGTCAGTGCTGGAGCAATCTGTAGCGCAAATCTCTGTGACAATGATACTATTTTATAGTAACAATCATGCCTCCTTGTTTTTGTGCTGAATCGAGAAATTTTATCAAAGGTTATTAACAGACTCACCATTTCATCTGGCTCAATCTGGCTGTTTCTGAAGTTTTTCTTTTATTTTCTAGCCAAAGGACTTCTTGTTGTGAATGAACACATTCAGCTTTGCATTCCACACTAAAGCAGCTGTAGCTAACTTGAAGCCGTCATATTTATCTGTTGATTTTTACCAACAATTCAAGGGGAACTGGTCAAAATTAGGTCAAATCTTCTTCGATATAGTACTCAATCTCCCTAATTCATACTGCAGTTTAGTTTACACCATAGTACTTCTATATCATCCATGAATATATTGTTAATTGATTTATCACCAATTTTATAATTGGTATTTACCGTCAATCTATTTACTGCTATTTACTCTAGCCGTTTTAAAGCATTTTACAATAAATAAACACAAAACCTTGGTGACTTGGTGCATCTATCCCTTTAAAGCTTATTTACTAATAGATTTAGCAGTAGGCTACTCTACTAGTACTACCAGTACAGTCAAGTAACCTAATTTCGTGCTAACCTCTTTTTCGTGCATTTCCAGAAAGGATTAATAATTTAAATGCACTACCTCGCATGACCTCCGCATTTGCTTGTTTTGATAAACATGGGTTTTCTGTACAATATCAGCTAGTAGAATGAATCCAGTAGTTTCAAGCAAGGTAAAATGCATTAATGTATACTCTGACAAATACAAAATGGCGGATTTCAGTTATTACCAAACGTCACAATATTATTTATCAGCTGAATTTCCTTATAATCCAAAGCTGTAATCGGAATTCCAAGTGTTGTCTGCTAGAATGTAGTCCAACGAATGAAGTCACGTGATCAACTAGCGGATTCCGTGTCAGCAGAAAAATTCTAAAGAATACGATGTGGGCCATATTCTTATGTTGTTAAGCAATTAATCACGCTACGTATCTTATTTTTTCAGTCACTATTTTTTTTTTTTAAATCATGGTTCTTTGAAGGAATTATCACTAGTTATAATGAATTGATATTAAAGATAAATACTAAGAGAAGTTAATCATATCACTGGGTATCCATAACGTGTTTTTCTAGACTTATTTATAGATGAAACATTGTACACGAAAATAGGTGAAGCATTTTGCCGCTGTTGTCAAGTTGTTTACTGATGAAATATGGGTCAAAGTGAGGGATTCATAAAGAATATCGAAACAAACCAATTCTAATTATACTGTAGAATATCTGAGGAAATATCAAGGCCATTTTAAAAAATTTCTGTTTCTTTAACTTTGACAAAATTTGGTGTTGAATCCTTATATGCACGAAATTAGGTTACACCACTGTAGGGTTTCTTTTTCGCAAGACAAATTAAGTTATCTGTAGCAATGGTATGTATGAACCTTATTTCTTGCAAACGACAATTGATTTTGAATAATTGTGACTTGAAAGAAAAAAAAAATAAAATTCTCTGTTGGAGAGTAAGCAGAAATTAGGTACAGATTTAATAGTTGACAAAACAGAGACACCAGTTTTAACATTGATACGTCCTTTCTGACTTCATAAATTACACGGGTTCCCAATTACACTTTCTCAGAAATCAAATAAATAAAATGCCAAACCTATTCACATAGATATCTGATCTTTGTTTCAAAACTCTAAAAGGATCAATTTGATTTTGCGGTACACGTTCTTTAAAAGCTGCCCAATCTACGACAGATTTCCCAACACGTCTTACTGCTGTCGAAGCCATTGCAGCGAAAAAATGGCAACTAATATGTGACCTTGACTTTGTACAGCAATTCTCGTAATATCTCGCAAAATATCGGTATGGTGCGAGATATTAGTTGGATCAAGAAACAAATTATAGTGTTCTGTTATTATTTGGGAGAAATGTGACTGAAACGTTGCAGATCATGATGTGGCCTCTTTAATTACATGTTAAGACTCTTGTCTTTTAACCTGGAATCACCTCATCGTTTACAATTTGGATAACGGTTCGAAGCTAACTATTTATTTTCAATTGAGCCCCACCCCATCAACCTTTACATTGATAATTAATTTACCTCTACAGTACTGGGCTGTACATCAATCTTTCTTACTCTTATATTTGTCAGGCGAGTATTGTGTGCAAAATTCAAGCTATTGGAAAGTTTTTTTAGAAGTGTGATTTATTGTAGCTTAGTCTGAATAGACCTAGTTCAGTATAAAGTGTAAAATGTCTACGAAAAAAATAGAAACTGCAGTTTCGAAGAACAATGAAGAGACAAGCAATGGTCTTGAAGCCAAAATCAAAAGCCCAATGTGTCGAATTAAATCATGGGTAAAGTTAAATGTTGGAGGAACAGTATTTTTAACTACCAGAACAACCTTAGAAAGAGATCCTCAGTCGTTTCTAAACAGACTAGTCCAAGATGATGAGGATAATGGTTTGAACACAGATAAGGTAAAGATAGAGTCTAGATTGGGAGTATTTACTAGTATTTGATTTTGTGTTATTGCCCTTGATTTAGTGTATACACATAATTTAAGATGCTTCTTAGTAAATGAAAGATTTCAGTTCTCTTCGGATTAGATGAAACATGGTGTGCTTACATTGTATGCCTTGAACAACATCATTGTTTTCTTACTGCTGTCCTATACGTATCCACTTTTACTTTATTATTATTTATTTAGGATGAGAATGGAGCGTATTTAATAGACAGAGATCCAACATATTTTGGTCCAGTTTTAAATTATTTACGACATGGTAAACTAGTGTTAAATAAAGATCTAGCTGAAGAAGGTATATCTGATATTTTTTTTTAATAGCCTAGCTTCAAAACAATTGTTATGTTGATACTGTAACTTTGATTTTGTCAGATCTGAATTCAGCCCTTAGAGCCACAGAATAAGATACCATAGATAAATTGAATATGATTTGATGATATTGCAATGTTTTATACGCTATAAGTATTTAAGTAACTCTTGTTTGTGAACTAAGGTTTCTTAATAAAATACGCTTCCGTGTACCCTTGATAATTTCATTGTTATAAATTATTAGTCACTAGAAATTAATATTGTTGATTTTCATAGGTGTATTGGAAGAGGCTGAATTTTACAACATAAGGGATCTAATTAAACTGATTAAAGCTAGAATAGCTGATAGAAATGCTAGACAAAGTCAGGTAAGTTCCAATTACGTAGAGCTGTTCAGATGCACTGATTCTGACTCTTCAAGTGAACGATGGAGTTTTCTCATACATTCTTGGTTAACAAATTTCTACTGTCTTTCGTTGTTGCTAGTAAATCTCATATAAGGTATTGAGGTAATATTTGATATTTCAAATACAAACCAATAATAGTTATAATAATAATAATCTTTTGAACAGGGAAAATTCTTTTAAAAATTCCAACTTGAGAGATAATGAATTTCCTAATAATTGTTTTTGAGATGTTTGAAATCCACAGATACATAGGGCATTCCATGTCAAGTGTACACGAGCCCCGTCGTTAGGGTGGGGGCTGGGCCGCAGCAAGTGAGAATTAAGCCCCAGCAAAACCCTCTTAAGTTTAGCAGAGATTGATTCATTTACAGTATCTTTGTACAAAATCCCCAAAATATAGATTTTGATACGTTTTTTGGCACCTCTAAATTGTCAAAAATGAGTTCTCTGGGCCTTAATTCTTCAAATTTTCTGAACACAAAATCAGAGCCTAGCACCAATTCATTCCCGGCAATGGGGCTGGTGTACACACTCTCCTTACATTAATACACGGTTTTCTTGCAATATTTTGACCATTCATTCACATGGGTGCAATAACACACTATACCAATCTTCAGACCTTGGGGCCCATTGAACTTTCTTCCGGACATTTCCTGAAATTGAAGATCAGCGTATTCTAGACATTACTGATATGTCCTTCTGTCTGTAGAACTATAAACTGATACAGGCAGAAGTCACATAATCAGTAAAAAGAAACTAATTGTCAAATGAAGCTCATTAGAATGACTAATAAAGCATCCTTTAGCATCCTGGAAGCCAAAATTTGGTTGACCCATAAAGTGAGCCCTAGTGGGCCTTCGGATCTGAATTGTGGAATGTAATGTTTTAACCTGGGTAGAATCACTTGAACTAAAAAGCTAAATCTGAGATTGTTTGTCAAAATTTCGCTGGCAAATGTGTACACTTGACATGGAGTTTCCCACTTTTTATAAGCCCACATGGAAATGAGTTATAGCCCTTGACTGAGATAAAAATTTGTTCATGAGCACAATAGAGACTACAGATTTCATGTGATTTTTGTGAAATATGGTGTGATAATTTATATTGGTGAATGAAATGAAATGAACAGAGTTTTACGTCTTTTATTTGTATTAATGAGATCTTAGCCAAGTTTGAATTTTCACTCTTACTTAACAATATGTTGCTGGTGATATTAGAGTTGTGTGATTTAATAATTTGATGTATTTGGGTAAACAATATTGATGTAAATTTTGTGGTATTACTCAGCATAAATAACTGGCAGTAAACATACATATCATAAACTAATAAAAATTCATTTAATATGAGAAAACACATACTTTAATTACTAAAGACTGTTTTATCATTTCTGACAGCTGCCAGTGGGCGTATGTTGGCTTGCCTGGCAAGCTATCTTCATTGTATTCAAGGGGCAGTATAATGTAAAATTTTCATTATCATGTTCCTGAAATATGCTATTTACTTTAAAAGGGGTAATTAGCAAAAAAGTGTCCTTAGTCAAATTGTTAAGTAGCAGTTTAAACTGGTTTTGGTCAGATGGTGTACTTTATAATTTCATAAACATTTAAAATTTCAGATAAGCTAAGGGGCGTTTATCTTTAGATTCTGTTGAATAGTTTTCGTTAATTTGAGCACTTACTCATAACTTACTTAAAACATTACGACTCCCCCTTAAACAATTAATATTACCTCATTATTGATTGAATAAGGATGAGTTAGAATCCCAATGAAGTAATTTAATCATTATTAGTCTATCAGTAGTCTGTATTCTAATTATAAATGATTAGTACTAGGCATATTGATCTCTAGTAGGTAATAAAATACGGTACTATTATTGTTATTAATAACATGTATTTAGTTATTAAAACCTTTGTCAACACCTGAGTTACATATAAAGAAAGAAACAATATGATACTATGTATTATCTGTTGGCTAGACAATCAATCAAGTTGACGGTATTAGTTTAGGTGATTGATTTTCTTTATCTTATGTTATCAATCAATTCCATTGGTTATATTGACAAATATGAATTATGATAAACAAAATAAATATGGATTTAGTTTGTTTGTTGAGCTATCTGCTCAATTATTTTGGAAAATAGATAAATGTGATTTTTTGTATGACATTTAGTAATTAGCACAAAAATAAATAACATGCCATATATGGTTACAACCACTGATTGAATGTCGTCTACAAGATGTTATCAAACTTAAAGTATTTATAGGTCAATATGAAAACATTAAGCCTTTGTTCTAAAGATAACAAGAGATATTGTTGTAAATAAGCACAGAATCTCTTAATAGCACGAGAGATTTTGACTCTTCTGTTGAGACCAAAGTTAAAATTATACAGATGGAGATGGCCATATTAATTTTTGCTAGCCTATTCATTTATCTATTTTATATGTTTTAACACTATTTTAGACATGATTATCAAATTTTTTTATTAATTTTTTAATTTGTTATTCTTAGTTTGAAGTATATGAGTATTTTTATTTTAAATCTGATATAATTACAGGCCTATATGAAGAATGTATATAGAGTGTTACAATGTTCAGAAGAAGAATTAACGCAAATGGTTTCCACAATGTCAGACGGCTGGAAGTTTGAACAGGTATGTAATGATTTATACTGTCATTTCTGACCAAAGGCCACTTTGATAAGGTATTTTACTTATGAGGCAGATATGATTGATACACTACGAATTAGAATGTGCCTGCCTTGTTGTTGTTGATCTGGCATGATACATACTTCTTCACAGCTTCAATTAGTTGAGTTGGTTTGGAATAAGTCCTAACCATGAAATATTCTTTTGCATGATTCACTGTCTTAAAAAGTAAATTATAATGAGCTATTTGATTATTTGATACAATTTACCTGATTTATTTTGTCTATTCTCCTTCTAGTTAATAAATATAGGATCTCAATATAACTATGGTTCAGAAGATCATGCAGAATTTCTATGTGTTGTATCTAAAGAATGTCCTAGTATAGTGAATGGGCAAGAAAATGAACCATCAGATAGGGCAAAGGTATGTTTTGAATTCTATTTTGATACAAAATGAAGTTTTATACAATTTATTGACATAACGAGGGCTATTTTAGGTAGATGAATCTAGAAATTCCAGGAAATAGAACTCAAGATGTTTTATTTAGGATTTTTTTTTTTTTCATGTGGGTTACATTAGAATATGACATGATATCAGATGAGAATCTCTTTGGCTCAAGTGTAGAATTAGAAATGTACAAATAATGGTTAAGTCTTTTGAACAAAGTATTTGATTGCCTGACTGTTAAATAATGGCTTTTGATAAACCTTTATTCTAGAACAAGTAGTACAAAAGTATAAATATGTTATCATTGTGAATTTATCTTTTCAGGTGTTACAACAGAAAGGATCTAGAATGTGATGTCATTTTTCCTCATTTATCATCAATTTTCTCTTTTCAAAAATTTCATCAATTTGCAGCCTGTCTCTTTGTGTGTGTAACTTTTGGTCAACATGTTTTTATCCAAATTTGACTCTAGGCACCTGTGAATTTGTATCTCTCTGTATCTTTGTGATCTATGTGAGGTTTGAAGTCATGTTTTCTTTCTTTAGAAAAATATTTATTCAATAATTATGCTATTTGATAATGATCCCTGATGTAGTGAATGAGGTAAAGAAAATGGCTGTGTAGAAATATTAGTTCTAGATGATAAATAAGAACTGTTTCTCTGTTACAAGGTTTAGAATACAAAAGTCTTCTGACATCTGAAATTCTTTCTGGTTAAAATTCTGATCAAGATAATTAGTTTAGTTTGTAATCAGCATTTGCTACATTTGCCATATTTGACCAAAATCTTTTTTAAATCATTTTAGTCAAATATTAACCCAAAAGCATTAAAAGTTGTGTAACTTATGCTAACCAATCAACAACAGAAAAGACTTCCTCACATGAAGTCTGTATATCTGTTAGTGAACAGCTATTTGATAATTTGATATTTGAATTACATTGAAAATGTTTTGCAATATGTCAGATCATGGATGGCAAAATGAGTAACCAAAAGAATGAAACATCTTAATCTGTATTTTGATTAGAATGTTATTATTTAGAACAGGAGAACTGAACAACATAAAAAACAAAGTTAATGCCAAATAGTGTGACTGTCTTGATACTGTATAAAGTAGATAACCATACTGTATAGGAAATATGAGTCAAATGTCTGAAATGGTATATTTATAGTAATATCTAGTCTATCTTGTAGTTTAATAATATTGCTTTCAAATAATAATACTACTTATAGCTTTTAGAAATAGTTCAGCTATTTATGATACATTAATATTGCTTAAGACAATTAGCTTTTTTACTATGGATGATATTGGAATGAGATGAACAGTCAATTATGTAATAAGTTGAAAGCTAATTTTTGGCATTGTTATTAAGAAATGACAGCAAGAACTAATTTGATCAATATTAATAAATTGAACAGGGAAGTGTTGCAAGTAGAAGTGCTTTATTTACAGATCGTATTTTGTACTTGGTTGTACAATTATATTACATTTACATCAGACAATATTTCTACTGCTATGTTTGTGTCATATTTGTAATGTCAACATATCTTTATTATGATCTATTTTTATGGACTAAGCTTGTTTTGTATGAAATAACTAGCTATATTTTTATTATTGTTATTTATTTGTCTATACGCATAATGTACCCCCACCGTTCATTCCTTCATAAATATTGAAAAAGTCAATCTATTAATTTGTTTAAATTCTATGTTTTTACTGCAAATATTTCTGAGCTTGGTAGCACTAAAATATAATTACCTCTATAGGAGAAAAGAGTGAAAATATAACTCTACTTGCGAACGCCCTGGCCTTGGTAAAACCAATCTAATTCAAATTTGATTACAATTTTGTTTTGATATCGTGTTTTTTTTTTGCGCTCTGTATTGTAATCTTTTTACAGCAGCCAATTACCCACCAATTAGAATCACTTATACAAGCGGGCATCAGCAGTTCCATAATTCGTAATATTGAAAGTCAATGTCGCTCCTCAATTTATAATTGATATTTTGACACGGATTCTGCATGACAGTCTGAGATTGGTTGAATAAATGTTAACATTACGCAACCTTGGTAATCTTGTTGGTATCAATCCTGTTTAATTACAGAAAATAAAAATAACGAAATGAACTTGTGCTTTTATTTTAATTAGATTATGGTTGAACCATTGTTTACCTTGAACCTCCAGCACCTAATCGTCTATGCAACTCTCGTAGATTTTAAGCTTTTCACATAGTTACTAAGGAATGTTAATTGAGGTAGATGTAATGTGGAATGAAATCAAATCCTGCTACTGAAATTATATACATGACGAATTCATCTTCATGTTTAAAATATATATAATGTATTAGATCAGTGCAATAATAATTTAACTTATATAATAGGTAATAATTCATCTACAGAATTCTTCGCAATCAAATTGAATTCTCATATTTTTGATTTGACTGAGAGCCAAAGAATCAATTTCGATAGTTTTAAAGTTTTTAAGTTCAACTGTAATTTTTCATAGTTTGTTTGTGAAATTATGTGATGGTCATAAGTTTTTCCTTCATAATTTGCAGGAATCCTTTTGTTATATCTGTAATAGTAAAAAGGAAAATTCCATCATTCTTGTTGACATATTTTCGTTCACATAAAATATCATGCATCAATTTTCCACTTTCGGCCAAAAGTCTTCATGTGTTGTAATTTTAATTGGATGAGAAATTTTATGTTACCTATGTTTGTTTAGTATTACAGTGTTAAAAATTTCTTTCTTAGATATATTATTTCAGTTAAGATTTCTGTATCTTCACAATGTCAAGCTATTTCAAACTGCATCTGCTTTAATCACATATCTTGTATCACAGAAGTTTTCATATGCAGTGATTTGATATGATTGTACGCGAACGAAAAGTCTGTAAATAATAAGCCAAAATGTTTAGTCTTTCTGCCAAGGTCTCTGAATGCAGTATCAGCTGGCATACAATCCAAAAAATCGTTACATTCTTTGATAAAAGGAAGGTGGCTATTGCAGTCAAGGTTCAAGAGGCAAATCCTAATAGCTTGACATTGTGAAGATGAGATTTCTGTTAAATCCAACACTTCATTCATAAATGTATTTCTTTGTCTCTACTGCATCTATAACGAGTGCTCAATATCATCTTTTCTTGGTTTTTGTGTGTTTCTGATTTTGGTTCATTGTTATGTATAGACACAAGTAACTGTTTTTAATAAAGACCAATATAATGTTTTTTTTTAGGTTTAGGTGAAGTATTTAGAGTGATAAAATACATATAATAGGAAGTAAAAGAATCAACTCCATTGGTCAAAACCATATATTTATTTAATCTTAAAGGTACAGATTCGCAATTTTCATGGGACAATCATACCTTAGTCTTAGAATTGTTCAGCTAAGCTAATCAGTTATAGTACCCACAGCTCACCCCCGAAATTTGAGTCTTCTTAGCATTTTAGATGGGTTGCTTTTCCAAGATGGTCCACTTTGAAAGATCAGTTAATGACGTCACATGTTCACAATAGACTCAATCATCCCCTCCCACTTTGTCTACGCACTGCTGCAACGAGACTATATCAAGAAGTTCAACTTTTGGATACCCCAATTTTCAGAGAGAAGATAAGCTTGTAAACAAAAGAAATAAAAAGTGAAATTTTTTGTTTTGGATATTAGGAATTGCACAATTTTCGTACAGTTCAAGCACTTCTGAGAAGAATAATTACATGTTCAAGGTTCAAATCAACCCCTTAGAATGGTGAATCTGTCCCTTTAAATCTGCTTTTATTGCATTGAGATTGTCTAGAATTTAATGGTCACAAAATTCATCGTGGTAAAAATGAAATATAACTTAATGTTGTACAGTATTAATCATTGGAAAGTATGATGTTTCTAATAACAGACCTAAGCAAGCTGACATTATTATTTAAGTCGTAATATATTTTAAATGCACAAAATATTCACCTTTATCTTACGATAATATCTCTACCTCATTTCTAGAAATTCCATCTCACTTGAAAATACATGTTGTTATTCTACATCAATTGGTAATTATTTCCATGTTAATATTACTAGACTCTTGGTAATATTATTTTCTTCATCTGAAGTGTTCTTGTGGTGAAGAAAACAACAATTTACACATTTTATGCCCTATATTTTTTAATGTTTGTCATTCGATTCAGAATATTTAAATTATTTTAGGATAATATTCATCTGATGGGGATATTCTAAAACCAAATGTGCTATTTTATTACCAACTTTATTGAAATGTGAATGTATTATAACAGTCAACTTTATCAGTGAAAATTAATCCTTATGGTAATTGCATTGCTTAGTTAGATTTGGGTGAAACTTGTTGCTTATGCAATTTCTGAGGTCTTGGAAGTTAACAATGTTTCAAAAACAGTGTAATACATTGTTTACTATGCCCTTGTCAATATTTTAGAACTGCTTCTAATGGGTGTATATTGTCCTCTTGGAAAGGTATATTTGCTCCATATTAAGATTTATAATAACAATTCAGTAAGTCATTTGTATTACTTGATGACAATTTAATTATAATATTGACGATTATAACTTGAAGTCTGTCCATTTTCTATATTTCAATGATTATCAATTGGTTTCTGTTTATCACTTTAACATCCCATTGTTGTATATTTCAAACTTTTTGACATTTTTCTTGTGAATTTCATTTTTTAATCAGTTTTTTGTCATGAGTTTAGTTTGTACATAAAATATAAAACTATAATCAGTGGTTTTGATCTTCAGCTGACAAGTATCAAATACACCAGGAAGCTCAGGAGTTTGTGTGACAATTAACACTGCCAAACCTTGACCAGTATTATATATAGTTTGTGCTGTGCTATTATTATTTTTACAATTGGTCATGTTTAAATTATGTATTTGACAAAATGTCAAAATAACACGAAAACGTGTTAATTTACATTATCCAGGGTCAGAAAAATAACAGTGTCCTTATAATGGAAAACATCAAATTTCATTTTAAAATTTTTATCAATGTTTCATATTATGTTTTAAAAGTAACATATTACAACATATTACCTTTCTACCATCTGATCTAATGGCCTAAACTTCTTGGCATTGATCTTTTTCCCAAATTATTTCTTTGTTTCTCCTCCAATATTCACAGGCTTTGGTAATCTCTAATAAATTTATTTACACATTTTTCAATAGTTTCTCATAAACAAATAACAATAATAATGTACACTGAAGAATTGGTACAAATAAATATGCAACCCCTAAACTAGAAACTGTCTGATAGGCAAAACATTTTATTATGATTTCTGTGCTGAATTTCCTTAGCTTCTTTTTTCCTTAATTTCCCTTTACAAGATCTTAATAATTAAAAATATTAGAAAATACTGGTAAAGAGAAAAAAATATTTTTGTTAAACAATTTTTTTTTCAAATATACATTCAAGTATTTTTTATTCAATTACACATATATAATATAAATATTGAAAGCTGTAAAGAAAATATGAATTAAGTGAGAATAGGTAGTATTGTTGGAATCCACACCATAAATAATTCATTCATGGAGTATGGAAATACTAACATTAAAATAGTCTAGTAGATTGTGGGTGAGTGGGTAAAGTCATGAGTGATTCTAATACCAGGTTAATGACTTACAAACTGACAGTCTCTTTTTCTCAAATAAAATATTTCAGTTGTGTTTTAACAATAAATTTACTTCCAAATCAAGAAATGCCTATTAAGAGCGTATAAATCAATTTCCATTTTTCGGTAAAAAATCTCATACATTAGAAAATAAAACAAGTCTAGCCTGAATTTAATTTAATATGACATGTAAAAGCTTTGAAATGGACTCTAACAACAATATATAATATAGATAATGAGAATATACAAATGAGGTAAATGATAAGATATCAAATAATTTGATGAATGAATGTATAACTCAAACAGTTACTAATTTCGACTACTCTGATATCCTTTAATAAAGAATCAATTCAAATCTAAAATAGTAATAATATACATTTACATAAGATACATGTTCAATATTGATCCAAATTTTACATCATAGCTATCATGAAATAATAACTAAAAAATGAATAGATTATATTTTATAAACAAAGAATTATATATGACTTGATTTTAAAAGATAAGAAATAACAACTACCATCTATTGGTTTTAATTAATATAAGAGAAATGTTTCAGTATCTATAGCTACATTGAAAACAGATTAAACAAAAATCAACATACACAGATAATGAGAGAAAACTAAATGAACCATACAAGCAGTGTAAAGCTAAATTATTTGTAGGTCTTGATAAATATTTCCAACTTGTGATACCTTCCTGTCAGAGTTTAAATGAGGTACTTTTAATAATGAAATAATTTACTAGATGCCATTTAATACATCATAACCAGTATAATAAATCACAAATATTCTACCCTCCTTTCATACAATATATCATTATTAATAACAATTAACAATCAGTATAACAGTCACATCTGACACGCAAATAATCAAATCAGATTCTGAATTGTGAAAAATGGTAAGCTTAATTGGTACTATACTCTGATAGTTAGGCTTCTAAACAAAGAAACATTTTCATTGTAATATTCACTTCTTTTCTCTCAATAAACTAAACTGAGCGTGCTTATGATTTGATTTATATCTTTTTGACTGGATATAGTTTTAAATTCAAATTGTATGTAACTATATAGTATACAGTATCAACTAATAATGCGTAGTGATATTTTCTTTCTGTTACCAGTCTTCCTCTATACGTCTGTAACAATCTAGTATATATACATTGATATAAAGTATCACATTATGCTCAGCATATCTAATTTTATTTCCTTGCACCATAATATCTTTGCCAAGTTTCTTCCAATTTCTTCACCCATTCTTCAGATCTAGATTGTGGATCTTCTAAATAATATGTGCGATTTGGCTGTAAAATATTTCGAAGATAGCTTGCAGGGCAAGATAACATATGCCCACTGGCAGCTGTCAGGAATGATAAAACTGTCTTTAGTGACAAAAGTAGGAATTTTCTCATATTGAAGAAATATTATTAGTTTGAATTCAATTACACATATATATATAAATATATATAAGCCAGTTATTTTCGCTGAGTAATTCCACAAAATTTGTTAATATCAATAACCCAAATACAACAAATAATTAAATCACACAGCTCTAATCAAGGGCACAAAACAACTATTGACGCGTTTTTACAAAGTCAAGGGCAATAACTCAAAAACCGTTAATTGAAAATGTTAGAACTTGTCTGAGATCTTATCAATTCCAATGATCAAATCAAGTTGATCAGTTCTGGTGATCTGTAGCTTCAATCCTGCTCAAGAACTATTCTTAACAACTTTCAACAAGGGCAATATCTAAAAAACCGTTCATCGAAAATCTGTCAAATTCGAACTTGACCGAGATCTTATCAATCCAAAGCATCACACCAAGTTTTATCAAAATCAGATAAAAACTGTAGTCCCTATAGTGCTCACAAGAAATGTTGACGGGCGGACCGACCGACCGACAGGGGTGACGACAATATATGACCACATATTCATGTTGATGTATAATTGGATATCAAAATGTAGATACTGATAAAACTAACCAAATCTAAAAGATGTATTGATGTGCTCTATGCATAATGATTTAATAATAATCAGTACAACTTTTTCAAAATACTATGTTGTATAAATAATCTTGTACTACCAGTAATATGATAAAATATTTCAACAATGAAGAGTAAATAGAACTTACTGTATGCACAAAAAATATCTTAAAATTTTTGGCTTCTGGCTTAAAATGATCTGACCTATAAAAATCAATATAACATGTATATATGCAATTTATGTGAAAGAATTTCAAATTCTGCCATTTCTAAAAATTAATTTATGATTCCAAAATCAAATAACTAATATCTAAAACAGCTGTTCAGATCAATCCTTGGACCATATACTGGAATCAGATATCTTACCAGGGAACTTGGCCTTTTAATACTTTATGTACTGGATCAACATAATATAAATGAGGTCCTTCCGTTAAAAGAAACATCCTTCTTCTAGCAAATAAACCCTAAAAAAATATGATATCTGGTAATAAGGCTACAGATAGTAATTGGCTAATTAAATACATTTTGATCAAAACAAAATAAAAATTTAATCCGTTAATAAGTTAGATTAGATCCTATCACAATCGTTTAAATAAATAAATGTGGCAAGAGAAAAGAAAGAGAACATCATGTAAATAACTCACTTTTCGTTTATCAATAAGACCTTGTTTAATGATTAGATTCCCTTCAACAAATTTATGATACTCATTTTCTCTAGCTTGTTTTTCTAATCTTTGTCTTCTCTCGTCTTCTGTTATACTATAATAAACATAAAATCTTCCATTATACTACAATAAATATAAAATTTCCTGTTATACTATAATAAACATAAAATCTTCCATTATACTACAATAAATATAAAATTTCCTGTTATACTATAATAAACATAAAATCTTCCATTATACTACAATAAATATAAAATTTCCTGTTAAACTATAATAAACATAAAATCTTCCATTGTACCATAATAAATATAAATTCTCCTGTTACAATGTAATATATGTAAAAATCTTCTGTTATACCATAATAAATATAAAATCTCCTGTTACACTGTAATAAATATAAAATCTTCTGTTATACCATAATAAAATATAAAATCTTCTGTTGTACCATAATAAATATAAAATCATCTGTTACAATATAATAAATATAAAATCTTCTGTTACACTACAATAAATATAAAATCTTCTGTTATACTACAATAAATATAAAATCTTCTGTTATACTACAATAAATTTAAACTCTTCTGTTATACCATAATAAATATAAAATCAAAATCGTTTGAAAACTTAAAGAGTAGATTTGGGGCAAGGGCTATAACTCTGCTTCTAACAGTCGAAAATATCTCAAATTTGAACTTGATCTTCGTTTTATGAATATGTATACACATCCCGAATTTCATTTGATTCCATCAAAAAATCAAGTTTTTTGAGTGTTTACAAGCAAATGTTGACGGACAGACAGAAGGGGTGCCGACAATATACATCCACATAGAGAGATGTGGGCGTATAATGAAACCTAATTACTAAATCTCCTGTTAGACTATAATAAATATAAAATCTCCTGTTAGACTATAATAAAATATAAAATCTCCTGTTACAATATAATAAATATAAACATAAAAATGCACATTTCACCAAGGCATTAATTTGAACAATTTGGTGATTTTGCATCATGCATCTTAACTTTCACAGTTAAACTTTAAAATGTATTGACTTACTCTGTAAGATTATTAGTAATAAAATCAACCATTCTTTTAGCATCAAAACCAGGCTATAAAAAACAATGCCTTCAATTAAAATACATCTCTAATTTGGTCTGATCCCTGACAAAATTCTTCAATTATAGCAGACCTCTCTTCAAGGCAACATCTGATGTTTAAACTTATTACTACTTCAATAATCACAAGTTAACACCAAGGAGAGTATCAAAGTCTTTATTCAAAATATGATGTGCTATACTAACAGGAAAGACAACAAACCTCTTTATTGCTCCAGAGATCTGGGTTACCATGAGCAGCAGGTAAAAATGGTAATAAAGTAGGTGGGTCCGTGTCTGGTAATGTTTCCCAGTCTATTGATGTAAAAAACTCATGGTTTTTTAAAGGATTATAATCACCCATATCTGTACATCCTAATCTTCTAGTAGGGTCCAATACCTAGGAATAGAAACATTTCAAGGCATCAGACCCCTTTCATTCTCAATTACTAACTCAGGAGCAGTAAAGCCATCAAGACAGTTTTATGTTTGTACTAGAACAAATGCAGTATAATTGTAAGTAAATTTGACCACTCACTAATAACTGCTCAACAAGATTTCTAGCAACATCACTAAAACCATCAGGAAACTCATAATCTAGTTTACTTATCTTCTGGAATATTTGATATTCATGTCTGAAATAGAAATTATATATCATAAGACAGATTTTATTTCATATTTCATAGAAGATAAAAGGAAAAGCAAAATTTCTATTCTTTGTCCATCCATTGTATATATCTGGGGACTCTTTAAACAGTGCAAAAATGACTTATTTAGATGGCTCTTATCAAGAAAAAAAGGCTTTGTCTTTTGATTCAACCATACTTACCCTCCTCTGAACGGTGGTAAACCAGAAAGAAATTGGTATATGATACAACCAAGAGCCCATAAATCTGAACTGAAAACAGAAGAAGCAATACATTTTACCTTTCCATATTAAGTATACTTGTAAGATTTTAATGTGTTCTTTACAATTTAATAAATAGAAAGTTAGATCGTAATATATTATGAAATTACATACCTATAATAAGCTTGTTTACTACTTAAAACTTCAGGTGAAACATATTGAGCTGTTCCAACAAATGAATTTCTTCTACCAGGTGCTGAAGTTGAGTTTTCTGTGGAAAAAAGGCCCAAAAAATTTCAAAACTTGGATATTGAACACAACCCAAAGGATTAATCTCTTGTATTTGCACCTGTAAAGGTTGTCTATACACCATCTTAAGCAGAGTACGCATGCAAGTTGTTTCCATGGGCACTAAAACTTAGAAGTGTCAACTTTGTATCTATATTAGCCCCTGGTATGAAATTCATTAAAACATACCATTATTGACTTCAGTATCTTCTAAAATTTTAGCAGAACCAAAATCAGTTATTAGTATATGCATCTTATCATTTAATAGTATATTTTCTGGTTTTAAATCTCTGCAATACAAAACATTCATTACCACTCTAGATATCATGATTTATTTATTCTCTGAATATAAATAGATATTTGGTATTAAAGACAATTCTCTGAATATAAATAGATATTTGGTATTAAAGACAACAATTTTTTATACAATGTAAACAAGAAGTATTAATAATCTGATTGAAACCAAGCTCTTGATATTTCACTTATTTAATTCCTTAATTCCTACAATCTAAGCATTATCCTCTAATTTCACTACAGTTACATAACAGACTTCATCGATTATAATTTATAAATCATTAATATAAAACTAACTGACCTGTGAATAATTTTTAACCCATGCAAATGTTCTAGAGCTGAGACAATTTCTGCTGTATAAAAACTTGAACATCTTTCATCAAAACATCCTAATTTATTCAAATATTTCAATAATTCCCCTCGACTAGCATAACTCATCACAAAATCTATTCATACAGTTAAGAAAATGTATAATATTGTATCCTATTTCAAATATTTTAAAACCATCTGTACAAAGTAATGATGAGATTACAGGCCTCAGTTGGTCTAAGTAATAAAAATTAAGGTTATATGGCACAATATAGAGCGAAAAGCATCATAAAAAATAAAAACATTTGTAAAGGATACAAAGCCTGTCTGGATCTTGAAATGTGCAGTATAATCTGATAAAGAAAGGGTGGTTTAACTTTAATAACACCTGTTTTTCTCTCATAACATAACCACTTTTCCTTTCTCTCATAATATGATTTTTTTCTAAAACTTTAACTGAAACATAAAGAATTATCATTATGCTTTCTTTATTATATTAATGTAAAAGATAGACGCTTTTTAAGATACTGGTCCTGATAATCCTATTTTTCTGACCTCAAGAAATATTCAGATTATACATAGAACACAATTGGTTATTTGTGATCAACAATAGTTTGAGATTAAGTCAATAATTGTCAGTAAGACTCAGACTCACTTACATTCTAAAAGTTTTGTCATAGAATAAGGTCAAGGATTAAACTTACTTGCATACTCTTTTCCAGATTCTAATTCTCTTGCCAAATAAACCTGAAAGAAAAAAAAATATAATGAAATAAATGATGCAAATTGATATAATTATTCTTAAAGCCAAGCAACATCAAAATATAAAAAATAAAGTTTAAAGGACAAGAAATTTTTGTTAAAATAAAGATATTCAACTGCTCATATTTTTAATTTGTGTTTGAAATTATTTTTTATTAATTATTCGCAAAACCGGATGTGACGTAGAGTGAGCTCTAGAACAATAACAAACATGGTGTCAGCCTATGATTCTGATACAAGTTTACCGAGAGAAGATGAATAATATCATGATTGTAGTGTTCAGCCATACAGATTTGAGCCTGTTTATACTCTTGAACAACTCTTAAATAGGAAGCAAATGGAATCTATCAGACATGAGACGAAGAGCGGCGATCAGGAGACAAACTTGTTCAATAGAAACAAGGATACATTTCGGTGTACTTGTTGCAAGTGCCTGGTAATGCAGAGTGAAACTGAGTGTATTTGTTGTCAGGTATTACAGCGTGTACAAAAATTCACTGACTGCATGAGTTGTATGGAGGCTGCAATGTTTGTTATTGTTAAGCAGCACACTCTACGCCACATCCAGTTTTTGCAAATATTTAATTAAAAATAATTTCAAACACAATTAAAAATTTGAGCGGTTGAATATCTTTATTTTAACTCTAAGATTTTAAAAATCACACAACAATTTCTTGTCCTTTAAAGATGTGTACCGGTATAAAAACATTGAGTCCTAACTTGATTGACACACTGTTGGTGAAATTTGCAGGCGCCATGGAATGTCATACCATTCATACGCAGATGATACTCAGGTTTATCAAATCATAAGACCGCAAGGAGACTGGTCCGATCTGTCCAAACGTCTAGAAAAATGTTTATTTGACATTAGTGATTGGATGAGTGCCAATATGTTAAAACTTAATGAAGACAAAACAGAATTGATTATCTTTGCACCTAAACGTCAAGTGAAGCATCTAGACAATTTCTGTCTGACCTTTGACGGAACTGTGTTAAGCGACGTTTCTTGTGTGAAAAATCTCGGAATGTTCTTTGATAAAACCATCACTATGGAACATCAAGCCAGTGCGATCTCTAAAGCTTGTTTTTACCACTTTCGGAACATTGGTCGAATTCGATCTTTAATTTCAGTTGAAGCCTGTAGAACACTAGTGTTCTCCCTAGTTACATCAAGGCTAGTCTATGGCAACGCATTGCTGTACGGTACTAACACTAACATTATCAGTAAGCTTCAGCGTGTCCAAAACACAGCAGCACGTCTGATTACACGAACAAGGAAATTTGATTCAATCACGCCCGTCCTAATCGCGTTGCACTGGTTACCCATTCATTACCGCTGCCAATTTAAACTTCTTGTTTATGTGTATAAAGCAATGCATGGTAAGGCTCCTAGCTACCTTCAAGAACTAATTACGCCTTACAAACCCAATAGATCCCTCAGGTCGGAAAACAGTATGCGTTTAAATCCTCCAAATGACGTTCGAACAAAAAGCTACGACGAAAGTCGTTTTGACAAGGCCGCGCCTACACTCTGGAACAGTTTACCATTGTCATTGCGGAATGTGAATTCTTTAGACGTTTTTAAAAAACAACTCAAGACTCACTTCTTTCGAACTGCTTTTAAGGATTTCTTGTAGATTTTATTTCATTCTATATACTTTTAATTGACTGCAATTATTTTAAACTGTTCATTTTATTTTTTTTTTATTTTTATGTGAAGCGCTTAGAGTAATTGTTTTTATATAACGCGCTCTATAAATATTGTATTTATTATTATTATTACTTACAGTGGAAAAGGATCCCTCACCAATCTGACGACCAAAAACAAAATCATTTGGAGTTTTCTTCAAACTAACTGTGCTACTTTCACGCCTAATTGCAGTTGATTGAGAGGCCATGTCTACGCTAACTAGTCCTCTTCACTGGTAATCAAATATTACATAAATTCTGAAAAAAAAGATAAAAATATAATAGTTCATTTTGTTTTCTATTTGACAAAAAAAAAGGTGTTTTTTTCTAGTACAGTCGAGTAACCTAATTTTGTGGAAACTTATTATTCGTGGATTTCCGGAAAAGATTAATAATTTACATGAGCGACCTTGCGCGACCTCCGCATTAGTTTGTTTTAATAAACATGGGTTTTCTCTAGCATATCAGCTAGTAGAATGAATCCAGTAGTTTCAAGCAAGGTAAAATGTATTAATGTATACTTTGACAAATACAAAATGGCGGATTTCAGTTATTACCAAACGTCACCATTTTTTATCAGCCGAATTTCCTTATAATCCCTAGCCATAATCGGAATTCCAAGTGTCGTCTGCTAGAATGTAGTCCAACGAATGAAGTCATGTGATCAACTAGTGGATTCCGTGTCAGCAGAAAATTTCTATGGAACACAAAGTGGACCATATTCTTATGTTGTTTCAGTGACTTTTAGCAATAAATCACGCTACGTATCTTATTTTGTCAGACACTATATTTTTTTTACATCGTGGTTCTTTGAAGGAATTGTCACTAGTTATAATGAATTGATATTAAAGATAAATACTAAGAGAAGTTAATTTTACTACCCGGTATCCATACAACGTGTTTTTCTAGACTTATTTATAGTTCAAACATTGTACACGAAAATAGGTGACGCATTCTGCAGCCTTTGCAGAGTTGGTTGCTCATGAAATATGGGTCAAAGTGAAGAATTCATAAAGGAAATCGAAACAAACCAATTCTAATTATTTTGTAGAATATCTGAGGAAACATCTAAGACATAAAAAAAAAAATTTCGTTTTTTTAACTTTGACGAAATTCGGTGTTGAACCCTGATATCCACGAAAATAGGTTACACCACTGTATGTTCTCTTTTCACTTTTGTGTTTTGTTTGATATTAGATATACTATATATTGTCTATTGGCCTTCTTCATACACTTTATTTCAAATTCACTTTAGTTTTAGACTCTAAGGTGTAGAAAAAAATATAAATATTCGATCATCCCTACCCTGCCTGGAGAATTACATGGACTAGCGTATCATGTCATGCCCGTGGTTTAAATTTAAGTCAAGGTGATGTGAAGAAGAAGAGAGTTAAAGTGTGTGAATGTGCTTCCTCTTTGATATACTAGTTCATTTTATGTTAAATATCCTCAAGAAATTGATCACAACATGAGTATTCTTACCATTTTGAAGACTTACAGCTGAAATTATCTTAAAATTTCAGTTGACAACAACCGGGATGAAATTTCACTTGTCAGGTGTTACCGGAAATGTTGATCACGCATGTGCATAGAGGTGAATGAAATTAAAGTTTTAGGCTTCCGGATAAGAAATCAGAAGGATTATCATTAATTTAAGGCAATTAGGAGACACGCGTCTAAGTGACTGCAGGTATTTTTTCTTATTGATTTATTTCATTCTCGGTTTCACACACTTTAGTGCTCATTTGTTATTTGAGAAATCAATTTAATCCATTATCTAAATTTTGACGTAATGTAATATAGTCTATCATCCGGGAACTTTCTATGGCGGTCCTATTATTTACATGAAGAAAGTTGCTTGTCACTTTATAATTTTGAGGAAATATTCTAATTGGATAGGCTGATCAGGTATCTGATTGTGTATATCTGAAGGGATTATGTTCGATTGATCTGATTAAGCCACTGTCTTTACGTCGATTGTGGTGTGCAATCTTGTATTTCATTTTTATTCTAACATCTTCTACAGAAAATTTTAGTTGAACTGAAGTGTCAGTTTACATGAAAACAAGGGAATGAGTAATACATTTTATAACAATAGCACACATCATAGCAAGTAATAGAGATATTATCTTGCTGCCAAGTTACAGGTTGTGCATATGATTTAGGGCTTGGTGCTCGACGATACCGTACCTCATTTGATATTATTTGATAATAAATAACAATTAATTATGTATATTTAAATATATGAATGAAAACGTGCGAAAGTGCATGGGTGTCCGCACCAGACAGGGGTTGTTATCCCCAAGAGTTCCGTCCGCCCACGAAGCTGCAGACAAAGATAGTCGGGCTGATCAATTGGAGACAGTGTTAGTGTTATGGGTAATTTGAACAGACTAACTTAATGTTTCGTATGCACATTATATAGAATGATAAAATAAGTAATGTTCCCACAAAAATTAGTCTTAAGCTAGTAAGTAATGTCTCCTAGAGCTTTCTGTAATAAATTGTAGGACAATGTTATTCACAATTTTGCCTATTGTAGACACATTTTTTAATTAATATAATTTTACATGTTTGATTTAAAGAAAGAGACCAGAAATGGAGTAAATTTGATAAGCCATATTCACAATTGACCAGATTATAATTAAGTTCAAGCTTTGAACTGTTAAAGCTTTGAGTGCAGAAATTATATGAAAACGGGTCCTGAATCACTGTATTTAAGAATTGAAACAATGTTAAAAAGATTTCATTGAATCAGTGGTAATAAAATGTTAAAAAGTTTAGGACATCAGTAGTACAGTAACTACACTTCCAGTATATAAAATTCCTAATAGAATTAATTCTTGTTTGAATAGACAATATTGACATCTTTTTTATGACCTATATTTCACTAGGTGTAAAATATAATGGCCTTGAACCGTAAAAACCAGTTTATTTTAGACTAGGATTTTTCTTGAATTTTCTTCACACGTGAGATGAGAAAGTCATAAAAGGTCTTTATTTATTATGTCTCTCAAGAGATTGTACTTATTAACTGGTAACTATTTGTTTAGCAATTATTACTCTTAACTCTAATAAGCATGAACAACCAAAGTGTTTCCAAATGTTAAACTATTTGGAAACATAGATATTATATTTTTTAGTAAGCTAACATTATTGTTTTCTTGATATCTTATCAATATATTACTTTTGAGAGAAAACAGAGCTGTAGCCTTAACAAGATAAAGAAAACCACTTCATTTTGTAGCTAAAACCCTCTGTCCTTGGCATTTACTTTTGGTTCAAGTTACTTAAAAATGTAATCCTACTATGATACTTATAGATCATACTTTGTTATGTCTTTCATTTTAATACTACCTACCTCAATATGCATATTTTTTTACGCTCTTCCATGTATTATAATTTGGACATAAGTATATTGTGGCTGCCCCTGTCTATCTGTTTGTGCTTATTTGCTTACGCACATGATATGGTTAAGACTACACTTTTGACCAGACTTTTATAAAACTTCTAAGAAATTTGCTGCTATGTGGTCATATGGTTATATGATTATTTCTTAAAAGGCTATTTTTTTATTTCCTGCCAAGTTAAGCCTCTATTTATAGTGAAATAGAGATAGGAGAATTATAGTTGGAATGGTCTGGTTATAGGACAAAATTCCTTCACCAGTTTGTTATTAAGATATTTAATGATATGATTCATATTATTAATATTATGAATGGTATATTTCAGGGGTTAATTGTAAAGGAACAGTAAAGAAGGTGATGTTTGTTAAAGTTTAACATTTGAATTCTAATTAAAGGTAAGATTATCTGATAGGTTACAACACAGATTACAAGACAGATCGACCTAAAGAAAAAAAAAATTCTAAGTGTGCATTTTTGTTGCTCAATTTATTTTATGACATATTTTCACAAAGTGCAAATAGGCAAGGTATGGTATAAGCTTATGTTAATGTTGTAGAAAAATGAAGAGGCTAATGTAGGGTTAGAGTTTCGAGGTACAGAGATCTGTTCTTGGCAAATTAGCAGTTTTCTATGCTCAGAATGTCTTTCAATTACCATAAGTTCCAAATATGTAAATATGTAAATATGTTTGTAAGATTTTGAACTAGAAAGAAAAATACAAAAAAAAATTGAATTAATTAACTATAAACTTCTACATATTTGAAGTCTTTTGTTTATCAATGATAACAATGTGCCAGATCAAATGGCAAGTATTAGAATAAATAATATTACAGTTGTATATTGCCCTTTTGTACTGAAAATGCAGTAAATTAGAACTACTAGAACTGATTCAATTTGCAGGCAAAATAATTGAAGGAAGAGATACTTGTTCCATCTACTTCAGAATTACTGGTGAGTTTCATTGTTATTCAGCAGTTACACTAGAATAGTCATGTATTTATATTAAATTGTTTCCTAAATATTCCATCACTATTTTAGAGCACATCTTGCTACCCTAAATTCTTTTTCACTGATAAATGTTTCTAGAAAATGTTATAAAGAGTTATTTCCCTTAGACTATACATGTTTATTGCAGAAACATAAACCTTCAGATAAATAGTTGAACAGAATAAACCACAGATAGTAATTAATGTATATAAGTACAATATTAAAAAGTGTAATATCATAAATAAACTTATTGGAATGATTATTTAACAATATATCAAAAACTTTAATTTGAATTTTAAATATTCAAATAAATTTATTATTGATATTAAATGTTACCGTAGTATTTTAACATGATTTGTTTTACATTTTTATACGCCATCATGAATATGTGGTCGTATATATATTGTCTTCGCCCCTGTCCGTCGGTCAGTCCGTCAACATTTCTTGTGAGCACTATAGAGACTACAGTTTTTATCTGATTTTGATAAAACTTGGTGTGATGCTTTAGATTGATAAGATCTCGATCAAGTTCGAACTTGACATATTTTCGATGAACGGTTTTTGAGTTATTGCCCTTGAATTGTAAAAACACGTCAAAATTTGTTAAAAGTAGTTTGTGAGCAGGATTGAAGCTACAGTTTTCAACCGATTCTGATGAAACTTGGTGTGATCATTGGAATTGATAAGATCTCGGACAAGTTCTAACTTGACGCATTTTCGATGAACAGTTTTTGAGTTATTGCACTTGACTTTGTTAAAAAGTGTTGAAATTTGTTAAAAATAGTTTGTGAGCACAATAGAAGCTACAGTTTTCA